TTCGTCGTGAATCAGCGTTTCCCCGCCGAAAACTGAAAATTTCCTGCGGAAAAATTGAAACTCCCGACGAAAAAATATTTTCCCGCAGGAACTGGCGGAATCACGCTCATTTTTTTTCACTGGGTAACATAAAGTTTTTTACAAAATCAAAGTACCTCAGATCAGTTTTTCGTTGTTGTGGCTATTCATTCCTATTCGTGTATTTTAAAAACTTGCTTCATTTATTGATTATTCAAATTTTAATATTACGGAAAAATGTTCTCATTTCTATTGTGACTGTAAATATGCAGCTACCAACTGTCCGATTTTAGCATAGCCTTTTGCATTTGGATGCGCTGCATTTTTACTAGCAAAAAAATCATCAACATATGGATCAGATGAATACATTTCATGTCCTTTGAATGCTGTTTGAATGCTATCAATAAATCCAATATTGGCTTCTGAGGCAGCATCCTTGATTGTGGCTGTTAGAACATCCATCATTCGATGACAATTAGCTTCATTTGGTATCTTATTGCCAACTGAGATAAAATCAACATAGGGAATAGCATAGAGTTTAGCGTTAGGATTAGCTGCAGCTTGAATCATCTTATACGTAGCAACCAAACGTGGTTTCAGACTGGCTGCTTTTGTAGCAACAGCTGTATAATTGTTCATTAACACCACTTGTAAAAGGCTGTCAGCTACACCAAGATCATTGCCACCAATTGTGAAAACAATATGTGTAGCACTTTGTAGTTTTTGTGCTGCTGTTGTTAATTGTGCAGGTATGCCATTCATTTTAGCTCCGCCTTTGGCATAATTCAGTGCTTGCCATTTTAGGAGTTCACCAGCAACCTTAGGATAGGATCCGGTGCCACCACCGCTGGTGAATGAATCACCAAGACCAATCAGTAGTTTTACACCTGAAACAACAGCGAAGCTCTTTTGCTGCCTGTGATGTAACGATAAATCTGTGTGCAGTACATACCTTCGATATTCCTGGCGAAACCACAACAGAGAACAATAGAAATGAGTACAGTGAATGTCGACATTGTTACTAGTGATAAAACTGAACTTAGTGTTTTTTATAAGAAAACAAATTTGTTTTCATGTGTGAAGAAATGCAGCTGGTTTCTGTTTTGACAGCATGATTTTACAATCTTTATTTGTGTGAGAAAGGCAAAGAGTAGGCGTTTGCATAAGAAAGTGCAATCTCCTTTTAGTACAAAAAGGACAGAGGTAGCTAAGTGGGTTATTAAGAGAATGCTGTGGGACGATGATAAATGACTTTCGATCTCGATTCTTTTCGAAGCTAACGAGGAAACCGATTTAACTATCAAATCGATTTTTCAATGAGACCTAGTGGATTATATGTTATCGACTATGCTGATTCCGAATATGACCAAGGCAGTTGCTTGTAGATCTCCAGAGATCTGATTTTTGGAAAACCAGAACCAACTAAATGAACTATCAAATCAGAAACTTTAAAAAAAACCAAAACCTTTCTTAATAAGGCACAACTACAGCGCGGAAATTTCTGATTAAAATGACATCTCCCAGCTCAACACGACCTTTCTTTGCAAAGCTATAGAAAACAGACAAAGTTGCATATTTCTATCCACAAATGAGGTTTTCGCGTTTGAGATTCGGAAAGAAGTTTTGGACTGAAGGACCGTATCTGCATTAGCAGATATCACTCGTTTTGTAGCGTGTTGAACAAGCTCAAAGTTTAACAAAACATAACTTTATTTATACTCCAATGGAAGCGGCTTCCAAGTTTGTTCGTATGACACAACAATGAAGTCACTAGCACTTTTTACTCCTTCATGATAAACGTAGTCGCGAGATCTACTTTGGCCCTTCCTGGCCTCCTCCCCCGACAACTATACGTTAGTTTCTCGAGATCTCAGTCCTCACCCCCAGTCAAAAAAAGGCCCTCCAGTCAAAAACTTCTTTCCGAATGCCAAACGCGAAAAGCTCATTTGTGGATAGAAATATGCAATTTTGTATGGTCTTTTCAGCTAGCAAAATGAGAACGCTTAATAGTATTAGATAAGGCTGTATTTCGCTGTTCTGACACCACTAAAAACGCTTCCATTCATACTGATCCACTTACTGTGACCTGTGGTGCTCTTCAAGGGTCCGTGTTAGGCCCATTCTTATTTTTGCTGTATATAGCTGATCTGTTGCTTGCTTTGAACTCGGCATGCAAAATGTTTGCTGATGATGTATCATTGTATACAAAGGTGAATAATAACAGCGTACTAGCTTCTGCTAAACTGAATGATGACTTAAAGAAGCTGAGTGAATGGTTTAGGAGATGGTGTGTTCTACTGAACGTGAAAAAATATACCTGTATGCTGTTTACGAGTATTGTTAAGACTCATTATCATCCTTTACACATTGATCACGTTATATTACCGTATGTCCAAAAGCATGTTCATTTAGGATTAACACTGACGCCTACTTTAGAATGGAAGACACATATTCTGGACATCTCCAAGAAGCTTTCACGCATAGTGGGCTCGATAAAGTGTTTGAGCCGAAGATTTCTCGTCAGACGGTAAATTCCATCTACCACGCCTATGTACTCAGTAGAACTCAAATAGATATGGTAAAACGTCCCCATATCTACTTGAGCTTGTGCCAAAGTGAGATAAAATATCGTATGTCATAAGAAGTGTTGCTCGAGGTGACATTCCGACTAGTTTTAAGGCAAGCTTGAGACGCGAAAGAAATTTCATCAGAGACTCAAGTAATCGATGGAATCAGTTAGATGATGATTTGTGGAGGTGATAAGGAATCAACTAAACATTTCTTTATGCGTTGTACTCGACATAATGCTACATAATGTTACAGTTTCTCATGAATATCCTAAAAACAAATACGGCAATAGTTGATCACGTTTTGTTACGTCACAGTTTGCTAAGACCACTACGCAAACAAGAGCTGATCGAACTTCATAAAGCTGTTCTCTCCTTTATCGCTAGGCATGCACCGAGACGAGAAGACTCGGATCTCGAAACGTTTCGATACTCGAAACTTTAGTCTCGACTAGTCTCGAGTCTCGAAAGTTTCGATCTCGAATAGTCCCGAGTCTCGAAAGTCTCGAGTCTTATTACTTCTATAGGATCCCCTTATTTGCTGAGAAAATCGAAGAACCTGTGTTGCACAAATTTTTGTGATTTTAATAAGATGGGTGTAGGAAGGCTTTCTTTCAGTCGCTGTGTGTGTATTTTACACATAGTCATGAACTAGACTACAGCTGAAAGCGCCAAAGAGAACTCGATAAGGTCTAACTTTTGAGAAAAGAATAGAAGGCATCTGCCGCCCTAAATTCCAAGGTATGTCGGCTGTCTTCCCGAGCAAGCAAGGGCCGACCAACTTTGTTTTGTTTCTGTTACTTATTTATTTTCTTTTTTTTCTTACAAAAAAGTTACATAGCTTCACAACAACATAGAAGAATAGTATCGAAAAAGTCTCGGAAAGGTTCGATACTGGCACTTTTATATCGAGACTATTCCAGACTAAAGTTTCGAGACTCGAGACTATATGAGACTAAAGTTTCGGGTATCGAGTACCCCGTCTCGGTGCATCTCTGTTTATCACTGCAACTCAACGATTTGATCAACCTTGATGTTTTATTTATATCCATGTTAAATGCATTGGCACATTACGATAGGTCATATCTCTCTCTACCTTTCCCTTCTATCAGCTGACTGATACCTTCCGCATATTTTCAATAATACTGTGATCTACTTATAATTACATCTTTTTTTCTTTTTTCTTTTTTTCTTTATCAGTTAAGGGTGGTCCTTTTTTTAAAAAGTCTCACCTTTTAAGCAAAAAAAGGGATGACAAGTTAAATGACTCAAAAAAACCCTAAAAAATGGTGTTGTTTCCATAAAGATGCTTTCTTATCTGATAATAAAAAAGCTTATTTTAAAAAAAGGGCCACGAGGGTACCTAGCCCTAAACACGAGCTTTCAAACAAAAAAAAATATTTGACATTATATTGTAATGGGGTAGAAGGGCGTTGGAGATACTCCGTCGAATCCATGTTCTGAGAAAAACGCGAAACAAGTTTATGAAATAGAAGGTGTTCGAAAAAAACATAATTTAATTTTTTGAAATATATCTGCACAGTCAAATGATAGAATTTCGAT